TTATGGTCCAACCTTTTAAAGGCAGATACAGGTAGGATTTTAGGCCTCCTTAATTGTGCCTTGACGGAGTTCCGAAATCAGGGAAAAGTCAATCCGTGATAACGAAGTATGGTTGGCTCGGTTTCTTTTGACAAGAGAAAAGGCTCTCGCTAGGGGATGGAGTGTTCTGAACGGGTCAATTAGTTCAAATTCTGACATGATGTTTCAAATCTAGGTTCCTGCAATAGGGAGCAAGAGATACGGTCAAGGTTGGGGTGTAAGGTAGTGTTCCAGTCCCCTGCTATGATTACTGGTAGGGGGGTTGCGATGATTGCTTTGATGTCAGTGAAGAGCTCTAGTCGTTCGCATTCTGCATTGGGGGCGTATATGTCTAAGATTCTCAGTTCTTCTTCTTGCCATCTGATGTCGATCCAGGACCATCTGCCCTCGATCGTGTCTCCATCCCCATTCAACACCTGTCCTTCTGTTCAGATTTTGGATGAGCGAGGTATGAGGATTGTTGTTCCTCGTTTGGTCTGTCCCTCTTCGTTGGACCACAGTGTAAAATCGCACCCGCCCATGCTTTTTTCCATTGTCCTTTTGGTTCTGGTGGTGTGCAAGATTTGACAAGTGGGTTTCTTGGAAAAGGATGATGTCCGGTTTGGGCTTCTTTTTTCAGTCAATACTATCCAGATATCTCAAAGTTTGTCTTCTTCGGATAATACGTTACCCAGGCCGTTGACATTCCAACTGTGGATTGTCAGCCCCTTTGTCTGCCACAATCATTTAAAACTGAAGTATCACACATAACATTATAGGATAAGATTGTGTAAATTTTGGATCTATTCATCTGGGGCCCCCCCCCCCCCCCCCCCCACATCCTCACACACATACACACACACACACAATGAAACATATATACCTATCACACAGATACATAGTTATGAAGAGAAAAGGCACACACATGCACACATACATACATATAAATAAACATACACATAACTCACGCAAAATAGACACACACACAAAAAATCTACACCATTAAAACCCGCACACATAACCCTATACACACATACGCAAAAATACACATAACAACCAAGTCAGCAATAACAATAAAAATAAAGCCAAATCATACCACACACACCCCCACCAATAAGCCCACACGGCCCCCAAAACTGCTAACCGCTACAACAGAATGACAAAATTACCACCACACAAAAAAACTTACCATAAGACCCCTATAAAAAGAACCCCCAGAAAAAAAAACTCACAGAATAACGTACCCAATCCAACAAGGACCACCAACTTAAGGCCTACCAATTGGCAAACCCCCCCCATTCATTCCCCCGGGCCTGAACACAATACTCCACTACAAAAAAAAAAAAAAAAAAAAAAAAAACCAGAAAAAA